CAGTTGTGACTGGGAACTACAATGCAAATGCACCGAAACAAATGTATGGAGTCTACTTTAATTTTTATTTTAAATAACAAATATACAGAATACCTCCTTTGCAAAAATTAAATATATTTACAAAGTATGGTTTTATTTTCAAACATTTTTGCTAACCCTTTATTGAACAAGGGTATCAGAAAATAATAATGTCCCCATACAGGTGGCTAGATGAGTCCAAAAAACAAATAGTGTAGCAAAAGTATAATATTATAGGATTACAAATGACAGTTGAGTTCCTGGAATACTGCAATCAGAGCAATGACCAAGCAACATACGAGAACTAAGCATGTTTAGGCTAGAGCTACAAAAGTTATTAGATCTCTTTGCTAATGAGAGATATGACAGCTTGTTGGCAACAGCCTCATTTGTAGTACACTGAAAACAAGGTGATGCTAATGGTTTGATGGGCAACATGTAGTCAAAATGTGTGTACAGCCAAAACTTTTCTTTTTAGCTTTGGATGCAGTAGGAGAAAAGTTTAGAAACCCGTCAGTTTATTTCTTGCCGTCTGTGTCCTGTTAGCGGGATTTCCCTTCATGAGTAAGAAGAATCTCTACAAAGTGAGGGGACATCCCCTTTTAAAACATCTATCATGGGAACAATTGTCCTCATTGAAAGATTCACCCGTATCTCTTGTTATTGTGGCAACTCTAAAATTAAGGATTTCCCTACACATTCGGTCTTGCTGACAATGATCACCACAACAGAGAGGGTGAGTAACTTATATAGCCATTGGCTAGAGAGGGGTTAGGAGAGTACCAACTCTTTTTAAGGAAAGAGAATATTGTAAAAATATTGATCCAAGGCTGCCAGATTTTGTAAAATGCTGTTTTATCTTCTCTATACAGTATATGATTTTTTTTTTACAGAACACAATGTAGTTTTCTTATGTGCTAACTATGTTAACATATAAGAGAGGACTGTGGTTTTCCATTAAACCACAGTATGTATTCTTGCAGCCATAATTATAAAGTGGATTAGCCTATTGGTTGGATTTTTGGTAATTGAAGGGTATTTATTTAGGAGTATGACAGATAAGAGTTCTGTGAAGGGATCTGCAAAATAATTGTATGCAGATAGAGGTACTTTGACGTTTCAAGGATACAAGGCCATTGATTTAACCCTTTCGCTGCCAAGGGCGTATGGCATACGGACCTACAAAAGTGTATTGCGTTGTATTGCGGCTGGCCGCAATTCAGGATGGCCGAGCGGTGTTCCGATCCGAGCCGCTGTCATCCTGTCAGTTTTTGGATGACAGCGGCTCTGTGTAGCGTGGGGGATCGTTAAATATCAATGATATTTAACGATCCCTCTGTGCAGAGCAAACACCGGAGTGATCGTCTGATCACTCCGGTGTTTGGATGGCTGAGCGTTTCAGGATGGCTGAGCGGTGAGGAGAACGGAGCCGCTGTCATCCTGTCAGTTTCCGGATGACAGCGGCAAAGAGAGATGATTGATTTTTTTTTCTGAAGAACTCATTCTCTAGTGGGTTGCATTTCGATAGATGATTTTATTTACAAATTATCATGTAAAACAGTTTCCTAGTGTTGCTACAGATCCACGAGAATTTATTTTCTGGAGATGGGGAACCACAGGTTCTACAAATTTACAATGCACAATTCTAAGTTCTTGTGCTTCATAGTGTATTGACATGCCCTTTAATTTTTTTCTTTGTGCAGAAGTAACACCTTAACAGGCTCAGAATAATTGGAGATTCAAGGAGACAGTGCGCAAGATGTAGCAGAGTCAAAACAATCTCTGCTGTCCTCAGATGAACCTTGCTGCACAATAAAAGGAGGAAGCTTCCAATAAGATCAAGCAGCAGTTCTGCATTTAATAGCTGACAACACTCCTCACTCCCTGAACTATTAGATCTTTGACAGACTCGATGATGTCTTTAAATACATTTATGCCCCAAGTCACTGAGGAGAACTTTAGGAAAACCTCTGATGAAATTATGTTGCGACTTCATAATCACTTCTTTATAACAAATGACTTACTGATATATGCTCCCACAAAACCCTGCTCTCTGTATTGTATAGAAGAAAAAATATATTGGTACTTATTCCTATTTATGAAGGGTATTTTCAAGTAGAACAGACAGCTGTGAAGCCTCTAAATTTAATATCATGCAGGAGCAAGAGAATCTCAGAGGATGTATGAGTTGTAACATTTTCAAGTTTTTAGCTAACTTTTTTACAAACACCAGCAAAAACTGTCTGAGTCACATAGCGTTCAGTTCATATATACAGATCTTCTACTTAATATAACTTCTTTGTACCAAGATCACAACACAGAAATGGAACATTCATGCATATTATTGGACATATTGAAAGAAATCCAAGCTATAAACTTTGTAGTTTAGAATGAAAAATGGAAAACCCATACTTGCCAGAAACCCTTCCTTGTACCAATGAAGAGAAGTTATATGTAATTAACCAGGGCACCATACCACCTTTTACAATCCTTGTTCAAATCAGAAAACACCACTTATGGTCATTTCACAAAAATATATATTAAAAAAATATAAAGATTATCCAAAAGACGTTGACATAATCCATGTAATACAGGGGTTATTATGAAGTCAAGGTATCACGGGGAGATATTGACCAACAACCCGTTTAGCACCCAAAGTAGGGCCTTCCTCAGGAGGTAAGGATGCTCTACGTAGATGGATACAGATATGGCAAGAAACAAACATGAGCACTTCCCTAGTGTAGAAGTCTTTATTGATCAGTAAAAAGCAATAAGAATTGTACTTGCAAATAATGGTGAGAAGCCTACAGTAGCAGAAATCACAACAGCAGTATGGAGTTAGAAGAACAGCCACAGTGTGAGGCATGCAGACCAGAAACCTCTACCATCTAACTGTATGTCAGCTCTCCGATTATTGCGATTCCGGGTCCAGGCCCCCTTCAGGAACCTCAGGTACGAGTACTCGCCCAAATACTTAGTATCGGTAGCATTGCATCCCTAGTTAGCTCCTTACCTCTCTCTGAGCTCTGTTAAACAGGGACTGCAAGAGACTATTATCAAGTCAAATAAATAAAGTAAATGTAAACTCTAGATGACAATTTGTTTGCTCAAGTATTGTGTATCATAAAAATATGCCATGTTTTTCTCTTTTAGAAAATATTTTCACTTTTTTTTTTTACCCTTTTTGTATCTTAATGATGTTGACCTTTTCCACCCTCTTTCTTTAAAGGAGAATTATGAGGTGAGTGCTTTTCACTCAGCCTCATAATCTGAGCTGACCTGTGACAATGAAACGGTCACAGGTCTGCTCAGTAGATCGGGAAGTGAGCAAACACATACCGGCGCTCGCTCACTTCTCGATCCTGTCACTGCAGAGAGCCGTGACAGGGGAGTGACTGGATTCTCCCCTGTCCGACCCTCCAGCGCTGACTGGCGGAACGGATGGGGAGGGGGCGGGTACAGCTGGCTGGTGCCTATCTAGAGGCAGAGCCAGCTGTCACTCACGCAGCTGGGCGGATCCGGACATAATTGTCGGGATCCGTTTCATCTGTGGCGTCTCAGTATACCGCGAACTGCAGCTCGCGGTATACTGAGCTTTGGGTGACGGGAGGACGCTAGTTTGTGTCCTCCCGTTATCCTTCGGAGAACTATGGGGAAAAGCCCTAACCCCATAGTTCTCCTTTAATATCCTGTCTACATGCATGTACTTCAGCAGCTAATGTCATTGCACAGTCGGCTTTGCTAATGGAGACAACCCAGGACCGTGCCAATGGCATGCAACTCAAATAGGCCACTTGTGGTCTTCATGGGAAGCGCATGTGACTGTGTGACAATGAAGGAGAGCAATTGGTGGACAGGGACAGAGTTTTGTCACCACAGAACAGGTAATGCCTGAACAAGGAACCTCATGGCAGGATCACCAGGTATTTTTTCAATTAAAGCTGCATGTTCAATTATGTTAAAGATTGTATGAGATTTTTCCGTGATTGGGTTTACATCACTTTAAAAAGGTACTTGCACTGTTCGTTTACAAAAAAAGAATAAAAAAAAAAACATAACCTGAAAGTGTGCAAAAGTTTGATCAGCATGAGCCTTACAAGACCAAATATTAGGGATGTCCAGATACCAGTGCCGATACTTGGCATTTTCACGAGAACTACCAGGGTTGCAGCGGTTGCAGCTGGGGTCTAGCTCTGGCGCTCCACCACTGTCCTGAAATCATTAGTCTGTATTGTTTTAGAAAAACTGTCACATGACAATAAACAAAAATGTATCAGTACTTGTATCTGTGAGTACTTGGGACAAGTATCAAGACTTGTACTTGGAAAAATGGTATCGGTACATCACTTTTATATATTTATCAAAACAAAATAATGCATTAAAATGGAGATGTTCAAATCCTAAGAGCTCTGTGTGCTCCTTACAAATGACAGCTGCCTTCTAACTTTTGAATTTTTGTCTAGTCTTACTAGACTACTTGGTACTTGATATATATGTATGCCTCTATAGCCAAAACATTTTTTTAAAGCTTTGAATAGAATAATAGAACAAATTTAAAATCCCTGTTTTCTTACATTTTTTTTGTGTGACCCATGTCCCATTGGGGACAACTTTCTTCACTATCTGTACCAGACACAACAGGAAGTTTTCCCATCTATTCCTTCCTGTTCCGGTGACAAAATTTTGAATTTCCCACCATGACTTCTAGGGCCAATAACAGATGGTGAATCTCAAACATCACATAACTTTTTTTTCCAGTAAGAGAAAATGGCTGAAATCAGAACAAAATAGTTGCTAAAAAGGAAAACATTTACGACCAAACTAAATATATAGATAAAAAAAAAATTAAAAGGATGTACTATTAAACATCATAGTGATCTGCTTAAAAGCTTAAAAGTAAGCAAAGAAATCACCAATGTAAACACAGAAATATGTACAAATTTACATAAAAGCACTAAAATTAACAATGGCAGCCAACTCACCCTGTTCTCATCGTATATAATTTGGACCAGACTACGATGCTTTGATTCGGTTGGTGGAGGTGAAATGGGCTTCTCCGGCTCTAAGGGTCTGGCTGCTTCCTCTTCTAATTGTTGCTGAAGAAAAAAATAAATAAAGCCACTTTACTGTGGTTTCATAGACTGTATTACAGTGCCCACTGGGAGTGAGGTCTTGGAGATTTTCAGAAGAGGTTCTGAACACAGTAAACTCATTATGTATGTGAGTGACTCTCTGATAACCATAAACAGCTGCTTTTCTTTGTCACAGGCCGATCAAGGCAGCTCTAATACATTCACTATGCTCACTCATGTCAGCTGTGATGTAACATTTGTGCTCTGCAATGCTTGCACATCATTTTACATGTATGTGCAATCTATAATTTTCTAGATGGATGTAGTTAGAGCAGTTAGACAAGTAAATGCTTAACCACTTGCTGATCAGGTGTGTACACCCCCTTCCTGTCCAGGCTATTTTTCAGTATTTTGACTGACATTTATTCCGTCATGCAACGCTGTACTGAAATGAATTGTATACCTTTTTTTGGGACATATAGAGTTTTCTTTTGGTGGTATTTAATCACCACTGGGGGTTTTATTTTTTTACTATATTAGGGAAAAACTACAGAAAATGTTGAAGAAAAAATAAGTTTTTTTTTTTACATTTTGTTAGGAACCAATTAATTCTTATTACCCAATTGTTGGGTAAAATATAAAATATGTAAATAGACGCCAAACACCTGAAGCCATAAAATTGTGCACGCACGCGAAATCGCAAAAAAACTTACCATACCCAAAATTGACCATAGGCAAAGCTTTTACCGTTCATCAGTTTTGTGTCATCAGTGATTAATGGCCCTAGAATTATTGCTCACACTGCAACATCTGTGGTGATATGTAACATGTGTGGCGTAATGGGCGCAATAGTCATTTTCGCACGTATGCGCACCCCACGAATATTTGGGTGGGGACTTTCAAAAATTTGTGGGGTTTTTAAAATTTCTTTTTCATGTGTGACTAATTTTTTTTTTGCAACTTTGATTTCTTTTCACTTAACACTATTATCATCACATAGGGGGCTAAGAAACCCTCTATGTGATAGCAAAGAGATGCGACAGATCCTCTTTATGGAGACATCAGGGTAATGTCACCTAGGGACCCCCAAAGAAGCTGATGAGGCAGAGATCTGCTTCATCAGCTCCTATCCAGCTTCTGAAGCTGGAGAGTGACACAAGAAAGCAGAAGTGATGTGATATACATCGCTTCCGCCTTCTGACACCGGAGAGGGGTTTAGAGGGAGATGTGTACCATGTACCATGTATTGTATGTAAACAGGCATCGTTGCCTTTTTTTAAATTTGGCCAGTTTCCCGGGCGGGACCAACAGGATGTCTTTTGACGGTCTGCTACATCCAGGAAGCTCCCGGCTGGCTGTTTAAGTACAACGGCCAGCCAGGAGGCGGTTAAAGTGTATTTCCACTGTCACAGCCAAATTGCGTTAACACTTATTTTGTAATTGTGACATGTTCCCATTCACATAGCACGAGCTAAAGAAATAAAAAAGCTTTTTGCAGTTTAAATTGCTTTTACTTGGGTTAGGGTATTTTGGTCTCTTAGGGGTTAACATTTCTACTTCATCGTTGTGATGTTAGGAGGGGCTGTGAGGGGTTAAAGGATTATATTCCTGGCTTCTCCATTGTATGTTAATAAAGTTCATGAGAGAAACACAATCCTCAAATTTCAGTCCTAAGTCTTTCTAGGACAGATAACCAAAGGTGCTCAGAAAAAACCTGGAATAAGCCATGTTGCCTGCTGCAACAAAACATCTTTTTTTATGAAACATATATATATATATATATATATATATATATATATATTAGCCCCAGCAGCGCCAGTCCGTGCTCCCATCCAGATGACATCTTTTTCAGGGAAGGCCTTGCATATTTCAGGAGGACAATGCTAAACCGCATACTGCAACTATGACTTAGTTGGCCTGCCTGCAGTCCAGATCTTTCACCGACTGAAAATATTAGACGCATCTTCAAACAAAAAATACAAAGAAGACTCAGGACTGTTGAGCAGTTAGAACGGGCAAGAATGGGATAACATTTCTCTCCCAAAACTCCAGCAACTGGTCTCCCCAGTTCCCAGATGTTTACAGAGTGCTGTTAAAAGAAGAGGGGATGCTACACCATGGTAAACATGGCTGTGTCCCCAACTTTTTTTGAGACGTGTTGCTGCCATCAATTTTAAAATAACTGTTTTCTTAAAATGGTACATTTTCTCAGTTTAAACATTTAATATGTTTTCTGTTTTCGATTGTGAATAGAATATGGGTTTAAGAGATTTACAAATCATTGCATTCTGTTATATAAATTGTACACAGCGTCCCAACTTTTTTGGCATTGGGGTTGTACTTTAATGGTTGATTTAACTGTACACCAATGTATCCATTCTTTGACTTGTGCGCTGTAATCACCTTTTCACGGATGTGCATGAAGTGCACTTTTGTCTTTGTTGTGTAAGTTATACTACAATAGTGACTCACCAGAATTTGGTCCCTCCAGACATGTATTTATAGTACAATCACTTAAAACCCCATGTCTCCTCGCAGGTGATCTCTATTCAATAAATAATGTGACTGGAAAATATTTAACTTAACCCCTGATTATCTGGATGAGTCTTTAAGGGAATGTATTTCCTTATGGAGTCAGCTATTTGGAGGGGACGGGGGGGGGTCATTTTAATGAATTTTAGACCACCAAAATCAAATCCCATGTAACGTGATGCACTATAACAAAACACGAAAACTTCCAAGGAAGCAAACAATTTGTATAGCCACTGCAAATACTGTATTTAGATCCATAAGGTTAGCTCAGTGTAAATGTTCTCTGTATAAAAAATAAAAAATAAAAATGATTTTATATACACACACACACACACACACACACACTCTATTCTAAATAGGTCATTAAAGCAGTTAAATTGCATTGGTGGTGATGCCCAAAAGATTTGGCCCCATATATTACAATCTGATTGCACAGTTGATAGACTTTAGGTAGAACTGTAAAGAAGTCTGTGTAGGCTCACATTCACACAAGTTCCAATGTCAGTCATAATGTGTTGAATTAAATATTGGTAGCATAAATTTGAACATTTTTGTTTAACTAAGTTAGTAGATCTTAAGTAGATGTAAGCTGTCCAAACATGTTTTAATCTGACAATAGTCTCCTTTACACATACCAACAGTATAGCGCAATGGTCTACATCAGCCTTTGTGAACCAGGGTGCCTTCTGGCTTTTTTAGGGTAGCCTTGAAATTTTTGCACAGTGTTATGCATTTCCATAGAAAAGGCGAGCCACCATCAGCACCATGAAAATGCATGATGCTAATCCAGGGTGGCTGCATCCAGGCCCTACCCCTGCATTCAGAAGAGGAAGTCCGCAATCTGCGTCTCGTCCAGACCTCCTATGCTTCCTGCCCTCTGCCATGCTGCAGAAGCCACACTGTAGTGAAGCAAGGACTCTGATGTGAAGGGGGGTTCTGATAGGATGGAGGCTCCTGATGGGGAGGGGATGCTTGTGATGTGAAAGGGGAGGTGAAGGGGCTACCTCCACAGTGTGTTTTTTGGTGTGTGTGTGTGTGTGTGTTTTTTGGTGTGTGTGTGTGTGTGTGAGTTACAAGTCAGTTTTTACATTTTAAAGGTGATATTTTTGTATACTTATAAAGGGTGCAATGAGAAATACTGGTCTACATGACTGAATAACTGAATATATACCGAATGGATTGTTTAGGTAGGCTCTCCTACTACATAGTTGTTAAATGTAAAGGAGATTGCACAGAGAAGACAGTGTATGTAAATTATTCCTGATTTTTTAAAAAAGTTATCCCTGAATATAAGTATAAAATACTGTTATAGGTATTTATTTTATCACAATGCATTTACAAGTTTATCTTTGACAATGACTCATTTGAACTGTGTCAATAAACTGACCTGTTTCTTCTTGAGCTTGGTGATCTGTTGCTCTACCATGGTGATTTCACGGTCAACCCTGTCCATGTTCTGGATCAGTTCTTCCTTGGAAAGGCGATTGGGTAGCAAATCTAAATCTCCTTCCACATGTGGAGGACTTGAAGGAGACACAGGTTCCAGTTTCCCAGTCAGGCAGCGATCCTAGAAATGGTAAACACAGTTTTACTCATGTGACCACTTCACTTCAGAATTATTATACTGTGTCCAAAATAATCCTTAGATGGGCTTTTATGAGAGAAAGAAAAACCTAAGCGAAACAAATCTGTCTTGTTTAAAAAGAATCTACACTCAGAATGTAATAAGCTTGACATAAATAACCTTATCAAGTTGTTTCTTTGAATAGATGTAAGTATATCTAAATGGAGTAGCCCTGATGTTTGTTAATTATGCAGGCTGAATTTTCCTGCTTAGTTCTGCTGCAAAAATGATTCTGCTTTTATATTTTCATTACATATCTATCAGTCTATTTAGACTGACTACAAACCAGTTACTAGAGGCCTAAAATATAAAAAGCATGTCACCAATAGAAATCAGTGGTGTGAAATATCTTGCCACTAATATTATTCATTTATTCAGCAGAGGGATGACAAAATTGCCTGGCATACAGACCATGAGAAGAGGGAGCGTCACAAATCTGTATGACAGTAAAGCAGAACTCTGTATACATGCACCAAGCCTGATTTGTAAAAAACTGGAGGAAAGAAAAGTTCTTAACTAATTATAGTATATATTTTTGTAGAACTAGTAGGTTTATTTATTACCATACATTCCAAAATGTAGCAAACATGTTCTGAGGGAGCTGTCAACATTTTTATAAAATAACCAGTACAATGACAACCATTCATTATATTTAACACTATATTCGAGGTAGACAATGCTAAACAATGTCCAATGGTGTATATGTGGTAGATATCGCAAAACAATGCTAAAAACTAGACTGATGATTCCAGACCCTAGAAGGTAATCCACATGTAGACTACAATGCGGGAATGTTTACAATTATTATTTATAACTGTGTAGCAATTCTTTTTAGTTTGCAGATATGCAAATATCTCCCTGACTTGCTAAAACATTTTTGGCTTTATCTAAATTACTATTAAACTCTCAAACTTTTTTCAATAATGAATCCAGATACTGGATACTTCCTGCCCAGTACAAGATCACAAGGGACAGAGCTGTCTCTGTTGTCCATCTACTATCTTGGAGGAGGGAGCAGTAGGGAGCAGGGATGTGGCTTGCCTTGCTGCCCCTGTTTGTTTGTGGAAACACACAGCTTACTAGCACACAAGGGTGTCTCCATAGGACCCTGCAAGGAAAAGGGGACAAGGAGCCACCCTACAACAGGAAATCAGGGCCATTGCTCAGGGGACCTGCTGATTCTGCAGGAAGCTAAAACATTTAGACATCAAGAACAGCATCCATTGTAAGTGCTATTCCGATCCTTCTTTGTAACTACTGCGGTCTCAGCCTTCTTGTGGGCTTAGATAAGGTTTTTCTACATTCCCCCCTCCCGTCTCCATTCCTCCAACACTGACTGGAGGGACAGACGGAGGAGCGGTTGGCACAGCTGGCTCTGCCTCCAGAGAGGCAGAGCCAGCTGTCAATCAGGTAGTAGGGGGGATCCCGACAATATTGCCGGGATCTGTCCCGGCTGCAGCCCGCTATATGCTGAGTTTTGGGTCACAGGAGGACATTAGTATATGTCCTCCTGTGACCCTAAAGAGAACTATGGCAAAAGAAAAGGTTCGGCCATAGCTCTCTTTTAAGCAGCAAGACAAGTGTTAAACATTAGTAGTGAGGCAGATTATACAAGATTTACTACAAGGTTACAACTTCATTCTTATATTTCTCCCTGTAACTGTGTCAGAATAAAACCTGCTCCTGACAACTGCTAATTGATGGAGATGGGTTTCCTGATGTAATAAGCAGACCTTGCTTTATAGCATCCTCTTTAATGCTCATTATGTACTGTAATAAGTAATGTACTTTATATAAGTAATGAAGAATATGATAAAAGATCACTTTCTAAATCCAAGCTTATAGGCAAATGGAGGCTGCCATTTTTATTTTGTAGAAATGCTTGTTCCCCGGCTGTCATGCTGATCTAATGACTTCAGTGCTTTGAGTCACTGAGTCAGGACAACTATGCAGCAAATGAAGTCAGAGCAATGTAAGAACTTCTGATCTGCATGCTCAGCCCAGGTAATCAAAGCCAACAGATGGGCATGACACCAATCTACTAACATTTTCATTAATATAAACTTTCTCAACTTATTGCAACATGAAAATAAGCCAGTTGGGTGAGGTTGCTCAACAGTGCCTAACCCTAGCGGTCCTGGTTCAGCTGCAATGCTCAACTTAAGCAGGGTTTATTAAAACTTTCTGTCTGCACTTATGAACTTTCCCCTTCTAATCTCAATGAACTCTAAAATGCCAGCATATTCTACAGGGCAGGATAGGATACAATGAGCTTACAACAAACAAATGTCATCTAAAATACGAGCTTGTATCCAGAGTCAACTGTTGCATGGCAAAATACTTGAATGTTAAAGTCATGAATATGACAAAAAGCCTATTGTGACAATATACTCGATAGCAGCAAAAAAAGTGCACAATGACCCTGTTGTTGTACGCTTGGAACCAGTACAGCATGTTGATCTGGCGATGAAAGGGTAAGGATTCTTCTGTTTTTCCAGAACAGACTTTAAAATGCATCCCATGTGAGGGAAACCTAAGTCTCAGTGGCAGGAAGCCAACAGAGAGCACCTGCCCCCCCC